ACTTTAACACTACATATAGTTCAGTTAAAACACTTAAATAATTGTTCAACAGATGAGTTACACTTGTTGTTGCGTCTTTGTATTTCTCTAAGAAAAATGTAAGAAATATATGTCGGTGTATCGTAAGTTAACAATGAAACAGCATTCGATTAATAATACCTGTGTCCAGTCGATGTGTAGGTTTATGTATGTATAGATTATTGTATGTATCAATGGTTGAATGGCTGTATGTAATGTATTTTGCAAATCATAAATATCAGTAAATTAATATCTACTTGGTAGGGTTAGCAGAATATTTGTTTTTAGTGGCAGATGAATGCCAATATAGTAAATCTGCTTGAAAATGTATGCTTATGTAAGAATTAATAAAAGCGTTGAATAATCTAAAGGAATTTGACGATGGCTTATTAAAGTCAGCACAACTGGGTTTCCGGACTTCGTTCATCGACATATTATTCCGAAACGAAAAGAAAACAATTTGTGAATTAAATCTGTTTCGGTCATCAAGCTAAGAAGTGGGGAGTAGCTACTCTTTTATGTCCTTTAGAAAGAAATATCAATCACTGGGCTAGTGAATGGAAATATTTAAGTACCGGAACAATTTATTAAGGCAACGGGTAAACGCATCTTTTATGAAGTATAAATTTAGTGTTTGGTAAGAAGGGCATAAGTTACTCTGACTTAGTAAATTTATATTAAGGATTTTAAAAATCCACAAAATCAAATACATATAATGCAATAATTAACAGTACGATTACATGTGGAAAAGAAACATGGCATTTAAAGCAAAGTTAGAATCAAAATTACATTCCACAGAAATGGACTTTTGGCGACGTTCTACCAAGATTTCCAGAATGGACAAAATTTGGAATATTGTGATTACGGAAAAAATAAATGTACAAAATTGTATTGTACATTTTATAAAAAAAATCAAACAGTTAAAATGGGATGGACACGTAAATAGGATGACGGATGACAGGCTTCTTAAGAAGGTATTAGAGGGGTATTTACAAGGAAGGAAGAAGAGGGTAAGACCTACAATTACTTGGATGCAAGGAAACGAAACGAAATGCCGAACGTATAGTGAATATAATTGTAAAATTTAAATTAAAAAATTTAAAAAAAATATATTTATTACAATAATTATCAGAAAATTATTCTATGATAATTATACTGAATTGTTCTTGGTTAATAAAACTAATCTAGCCAGTAAAAAATGTTGGTTTATATGCCACGCCGCGTGGCGTACGTTACGTATGTAATACGATAAATCATAACAATTATATACATATAATAAAACGTACTGTACAGACCATTCGATGTTTGGTACATGGTTTTAATGCTTTAGAATGGCTGCCAACCTTTACGATATGTATCGTAAAAGCTCAGGTATGCAAGATACAAATAACGAACATCGTCTTGGAACGGAAATCGTTCGTATACCGAGAATTGCCTGTATTTAAATATTCAGTTCGTTCTGCTTGAAATGAGCGAAGTAAATTGCCCATGACATTCTAAAACCTGTTAAATAAATAAATGTTGAAAATCTGGATAAAGGAAGGAACAGAAACGTGAACATAGAGAAAATGAATTTCAGTTCATTGGTAAATTTGTTTTAATGTAATTCACTGGACATAATACATATAATTGTTGACTCATTTAATATGCCCGTTATATACTGGCAGTTACACATACATACAAGAACAGGAAATTAAGCTGTACATCAGTCTGGGAAGCCTAAATCATTTCTTGGCCTAATGCAAACCTTCCATTTTTGCTATCCTATCCTATACAGGCCGGCGGCTCTCAAACTCTCCTCTGATAGTCGGTATAATCGTTCGCTGACAAGTATATTTCACATGCGGAATAATTTAATTTGTTTTTCAATTTGTTTATTTTATAACGTTGTAATAAATTCTGCTGTTATAAAGCGTGAGCGACGTATACTACATTAAAAGAGGACTGTCATGGATTATTTAAAGTTTCTATCTGGCCAATTTATAGGAAATGCACATAAATGCAGAAAAGTGTCTGTCTTCTGAGTTGTATCGCTGCAACCAAGAGGGCAGCCACTTTCATAATCACCGCCGTGAGAAACTGAAATCCTGTGCAGAAATGTCATCGTAAATCTTAAAATAGTTGGCTTTAGCAGAAATTCGAAACAGGTACGTCATAATTCCCCTAGGTGGCACTATAGCAGCTACTCATAGAAGACATTATTATATTTCATATTATTTTCTTACACGGTTCTAAAATTCCAAGTGCCTGTTTTGGCTAACAGTATTTTGAAACGTTACTGACTATAATTATGCACATTATTAGGAAAATGATGGTTGGAATGATAGTAAATTAATGGTTTCACTATTTGTAATGTATTTTATGCTTTATTTATATGTAGTAACACGAATTCAAAAAGGTCCTGATTTTTTTATTCAGATTTGTACATAATTTATATCGCAAAAATTCGTGGTATTTCTGCTGAATTTCGCGTTTGAGGTATAGAGTACAGGAAAATGAAGGCTTAATATAATTTATGCCATGAAATGTTCTTTCGCGTTATTCCCAATTTATATTACACGAATTACTTGTTTATTGGACGCTATTTAGTGTAAGCAATTGACAGCGTCATTAAATAAAGAATAAATAGAATAAAAACACCTTCTAGTATTTAGGGTCTTTAGCCAGTCACAGAGACAGCAAATTTAAAAATCTGGTTTTGTGTTTGTTATTTTGTTTGTTTACGTATTTATTATTATGTGTTCCTATTGAATAATCACTGTAAACTAAGTATCACGAAGCAATTATAAATTTCATAAAATTTCAGGAATTAAAATGTTATCAGTGACATAATTATTTGATTAATATATAAATATATAGGATTAAAATTATGCCCTCTGTATTAAATAGAGACGAAACTTGAAATAAGTCCATGATAGGCAATGAAATATAAATTTTGAGATTGGAAAAATCTTTAAAAACTATCAAGACATTCAAATTATGCAAATTAATCTAAATATTTTGAGATTGGAAAAATCTTTAAAAAACTATCAAGACATTCAAATTACGCAAATTAATCTAAAGCCTGCAGAAATGTTCTGCGATAAAGTTAAAATGTTTTGGAAGCAACCAGCAATATAAAGTTTGAGAATCCCCCTGTGGTTCGCTAATTTGCTGTTCTTTTTCTCTTTTCTGCTAAACTTCTGAAGTGGACGGTAGTAGCTCTCATTGCATTATCTTACTGACTTGTAAACGAGTAAGAGCTAAGACCCCTTCAATGTTATGAAAATAAACATAGTACCTAGTAGCGTCACCCAAAATGCCTAATTATATATACACTATATTTATCAGTACATTTACATTCAAATATAAAAGAATGTTGCGAGAAAGCCTTTCTAACATGAGCTATAATATTAATAGACAATTATAAACACTTTGTGACTTCCAGGTGAGGAGGGATTCTTGTATCTTTGGTGCTTGTACGTATATAATTAAAAACATATTAAGTAAATTTTCAGAACTGTTTACATTACTTTAAAATAAAATTATTGATTCCTCATTATCGATAAACAAAAGATATACACAACATTACATCACACCTCACGAATCTGGTCAGTAGATTCGTAAATACACACTTCATGTACAGAGATTTGCCTAGGTCGTGTTTCTCAAACGTATTGTTTAAAATGTAATGTGACATGTTGGTTTCCTGTTCTTAGATAAAAACATTTTGTAGTTCTTAAATATGTTAGCATGGGTTATTAATAGTCACTTATTCCTGTCACTTCTACAACGTCTTAGAATATTTTTATCACTATTGACATAAGAGACTCTTGTACAAATGTTAAGTTCTTTACGTATACCAGTTTGCGGTTTGAGAAACATCGATAAATCTAATTAAATTTAAACACATTTCTACTTGTATATGCAGAAGAATATTTTATGTATTTACACGTTCGTTTAGAAAACTTACTATATAAAATTTATCTCTTACTTAAGAATAAAATGCAAATAAACATATTTTGCCTCATGGCAACAAAATTTATATGTAGTATTTTTAAGTGTTCACAGAGTCGTTGTGATGGTGTAATAAATTCAGCAGGTGGTAGTAAATTCTTCTTACTACAAGTTTCATTCTGGCAAGGGAATAAAGTGCAAGCCTGTTGACGCTAAAAGGCATGCTGTGTAGAGAGATATCACTGTCATGATGCGATTCTTAGGTCAGTGGAAGAACAGTTCGTCATATTGCGTACTCATCTAAAACACTTAAAATTCTTTCAAATGTATAATTCTTATTCAGTAACTTACATTCTATACACTTTCTCTGGGAAGAAAAATTAGAAGCTACACTTCCTCTTACCATAAAATGCCTTAATTTGATCTTTACAATTAAGGATGTATATCAGTATTTGATGTGTTTACATTGAGATGTGTATTTCAATAACGTTCCTATTATATAGTATTTGATGTGTTTACATTGAGATGTATATTTCAATAACGTTCCTATTGTAATTTTTTTTAAATTGTCAAACTCTGCAGGATAGTGTGTAATATTGAAAAGGGTTCGTCATAGATAATTAATGTTTTTGCAGGTACTATACTCGAAATTCATTTTCACGTGGATCTGGAGAACGGACATTCGCCTCCGTTTCATATTTGCGTCCATTTAATATTTCTGCTAGGCTGTAAAAAGAACGACCCTTTGTTTTATGATCTTTCAGAAAGTCTTTGCAGCTAACCAATAGGATCTACGGCATTAAAATATAAAAAACATTCTTCAAGTAAACTTTCTTTCCAAATAACATGTAACACAGGACGTCAGAATCGTACTTAAAAACACAAAGTCCAGATTTTCCGGTATTCTTGAAAATTTCAAATATTATAAACAAATAATAAAGAAGAACGAATTGGCACTTAAGGGTAAGGTCTGTCGGAGAATCTGCATTCTCAGTGATTTTCGCCAATAGAACTGCAGTTTTGAAGTCTATATATCATCTACATGTAACACAGGACGTCAGAATCATACTTAAAAACACAAAGTCCAGATTTTCCGGTATTCTTGAAAATTTAAAATATTATAAACAAGTAATAAAGAAGAACGAATTGGCACTTAAGGGTAGGGTCTGTCGGAGAATCTGCAGTCTCAGTGATTTTCGCCAACAGAACTGCAGTTTTGAAGTCTATATACCATCCTCATTAAAGAATAAGTTTAGCGTAAAATGAATATTAAGCTCCAACGACCATTAGCTTCTTTTCCCCACTTAGAAAAAAGAGATAGTTAAACAATTTGAACGTTACACATACCATACTTACGGGGCAAAGTGTTACTGATAACCGTGTTAGCCATACTAAACATTTTTTATAAAAAAATGAAAAGATTGTACTTTCTGTATCACTTTCGTGGTTTAGTTGTGCCACATACTGGAATACAGAAACACGCTTGCGTAAGCCTTAACAATCTGGCTAACGACGCATCGTAGTTAATCGGTTCTGCTGTATTACAGTGTATGGAATACCAGCGAACCACCAAAAGAAAGACAGAAGTCTTTTGTTGTTCGATGTTTTAAAGTGTTAGCCGGGCTAACGCGGTTAACAAGAACGCTCCGCCCTTGCACACTCGTTGGCGCAGTGCACGTATGGAGTCTGACCAGAAGAATTGAACTGCCACTGAGTTTAGTTTCCCTGAGTTAATTCATTAGCACAGTTTTTTTGAAACACTCACTTTGGCCAATTCCTTTGGGATTAGGTTTGGAACAGTAACACAAAAATATGCCATGTTTATTTAAAACGTATTCCTGTAATAATTTGCATCCCTTTGTATAATTTACGTACAAAACTCTTAAAGAAAAATAATGTGTGGTACCGTCTGAAGTATTTTAGAGCATAATAATATTGGTTACACATATACATATATATGTTGCTCATAAAAAGATACAACACATAGGATTCGTGTTTGATAATAATATCTGTTTTAATGTACTGATTTTCTTTAAAATATATCGTCAATTTAGTAATACTTGTGGCTCACGTTATATACGGAGTTTGCGTTCTTACACATTACAGCATATATCAAAAACGCGTCAAACGGGAAACTTACAACTGCCATTTTGATGTTAAACCGACGCCACAATTATTCGATGCAAAGCTTTTAATCTGCATCGCATTAACTAAGCCTGGAGAAGTTTCGACGTAACAAATAGATTTTAAAATTTGGTATTGGATGAATATCGATGCTTCTCATAATACTGAAATTAAACCGCGGATATGCGGAAAAGGCGAGTAGCTATGCTTGTATAACGAAAGTCACTTGCACATAACTTAATTTCAATTCCGGTATTCTTGCGTCATTATCTCTCTTAGTCCGATATGTAAACATGGCTCAAGAGTGCACACGTTTCGATTAGCGCGAATTTATGACTGGTGTTTGTTCCAATAACTAAGATCTTGTCCTGATTTTATTTTGAGTTGTCTGAACGATCGTCCAAGTGTTATGCCACGTGATGGAAACGAGAATCACAAGAAACATGGGCACAAAGCAATGGGAGACGTAGGCTGAACTGGAGCTGACGCCAAGCAGATCCAGGGTCTTGTCATTGAGATTACCACCTGTTAACTTCAAATCTGAAACAAAAGTATACATAACTTTATATTATAAATGAACCGGTTCGATTATCGCCCGGTAAACTAGTCATATTTATGGCTATCCTCAAACTTTTGAGGCGAATATCCTTGTAATAAATTACAGAAATGTTCAACTGCCTTCTCTTACACTTAAACAATTTATATTTATAACTACAAGAAAGAGAGTAATTAGTAAGAAGCTTAGAGTCGCTCACCTAGTCAATAACCTCTCTAACTTTCACGGAACACAAAGGTTTATCTCTGTGCTCACAGGAGACCACCACTGGTCCCTATTATTCTCTAAATGAATCCAGTCCATAAACTCCCACTGTCTTCTTAATATTCATTTTAAAATTGTCCTGCCATCAACGCCAAAGTAATCCGAATGGTCTACATTCATTCTTTTGAACTAAAGTTGTATTAGCCTGTGTATCTTTCATTTTTCTTGCATGCTACAAGCCCGCAACATTTCATCATCTTGATTTGATCAGAGTAATAATATTTTGTGAAATGTGCGAATGCTACGTGGGCGTGTGGCCAATGAAACACATGCACACACACACTTTTGCGTTAAAACATTAATCACTTTAATAAGAAATTCGTTTTTTAAAGTAATTATTAGCACGACAAGTTGCAGTAAAAGAAAAATGTATCAATGGAAGCGTTATTTTCAATAAATAATACTGCTAACAACATTTACCCTTTGCTAGGACCTCTTCCTGAATAGATTTTCCCAATCACTCTCGATTTCTGTCTGTCCAGTCTATGAAATTCGGCCCAGTCTCCCCTACCTCTTTACCTCTTCTAACTTCTTGTCGATCTGATCGTGACGGAACTAAATACTAAGTTAGTATGTTTGAAGTTTTCACGGCGTTACGTCCGAAGATGGTTGTCTTCTGGATTGTAGCTGTGTAGTCTGGTAGAGTTTTTCCAAAGTTTCAAAGGTCCTTGCTGCCTCTATCATCAGGGCGATGATTCATCGCCCTGATGATGGAGGCATCAACAACCCAGAAAACAGCAATATTCAGACTCACCGCCGTGAAAACCTCAAATCCTACAACTGATACAAGTTATAAGGACACACCTGAATAAAACTAACCAACATTGCTACAAGTGGATAAGAAATTAAGAATTCTTTTAAAGTGAAACAAGGCAAATGAACACAATAGTTTAGAACTCAAAAGAAAAATGGTTAGAAAAAATTATGCATAGACAGTTTCTATACAGCTTAAATGAAGAATTTGTGGATTAGAAACAGTCGTATCGATTTCTGATTGTCGGAGAGATTACTATAGTGTCAGCTCAGGATCAAACAGTCAGCATTACTTTAAGGAAAAAAATTGAAATAAGATAAGGATGTAACATTCGGCAAAGAATGAATATAATAACAAGATATGATGAAGTCTGTACATATAATAACTCAATATGCAAAATATTAGTCATTCAAACGAAAAAAATGTAACTAATACACTCCTAAGCCAATATTATAACATGAATGTACAGCAGTACTTTGGAATCAAGGAATACGAACAGATAATAACTTTCAGGCAAATAGGCCTTATATAGAAATTAAAAATTTTGAAATGTTAAATTCGCTTAGTGGTAGATGTAGCAATTCCGTCGGAAAAGAATATAATACAGAAGAAGTTGGAAAAGAAATTTAAATAAATAAATACAAATAGCATAGAAGTTCAGCGAATGTGGAACATGAAGTAATATGTCATACAGGTAGTAACTGTAACCAGGGAAATTGTAACTACATGACTAAAAGGCATCTCGAAACAGTACTAGACAAGCAGTCAACAGATTCCCTACAAAACAGCCAAACTAGGAACATCACACATTTTAAGGAAATCAGAAACGGGAAGCCTTAATGTTATGGTTCACCATTCGTTTAAGAGGAATAGTATTAGGAAACCTTGTAAACAAAGAATAAATAATAAGAAATAAAACTGGAATTCATGTGAAATTATGAAGGATGAAAACCCGCCAAGACGCACTTGATGAAATAATACACATAGTAAATATTCAATGCCTTCGTATCTTTTGTTATATAGTCTCGTGGGACCTTATGCTGATCTTTCTTCAAGCATTTGGTATGGAAATACAGTGCTATCCCAATGATTCCTGTGCATTAAGCGACTAAGAGCCACTCGCTTGCTTGGCTGTATACCGTTTGTGGTAACCTTATGAAATAAGGAAATTAAAAAATGGATGGAGACAGGATGGAAAAGAAGGAGATTACGAACGAAAAATGAATAAATACGGGATAAGGACTGTTTTGAAGTACTGTAAACGCCGATTATCCGGGTCCAATTATCCGTGGTCTCAGATTATCTCTATCATGCAACAACCTTTACAGACTTCCTGATGGAATTAATTTAAGAAAAGATGATTAATATTGTTTGTGTTTTTCAATGTTAATACGTATGTATCTATGTATAAATGTATAATTTTGCTTGAAAGGGTAATGATAATTCTAAATTAATATAATGTGGATTAACCATTTTTTATTTTCCTGGCCCCTTCTCCCTCCAAATACTACGGATAATCGGCGCTGTACTGCCATTATATGGGATTGCATAACTAACAACTTAGCTGAAAGCACTGGACTTTCACTCTGTAGATTTAGAGGTGGACGGTAAAAGCCTATAAAATATGAACAGAATGGAGACTGTTGATCAGCAAACGCGAGATAAAAATGAAGAAAACTCGAGATTATTTCAGGAGAGGCACAAACTTTACAATAATACGTGTTCATCATTTCTGAACTACTGCGAATCGAATTAAGAAATTAGAAGTTTGTGCCTTAAGTAGCGATAACTTTTTTAAAAATTTGTTATAGCAGGTCACACGCATTGTTCTGTTATGGACAACGTGTAGTTCATACGGTGTAGAAAAATAATTCATGTAGTTGTGAAGTTGATGGAGCTGATGGAAACCAAATACAGATTTTCCCATTTATTTACCTCTGCTACTAGTGTGGTGCATGTTTATGGGTCTTCGTTAAAGAATACCCATATTTTATTAAAAAGAGGTGGTAGCTACGAACGTAAAACCATTCCAAATGAAGGTTGATTTAGATGAGACATCCCTTACGTACGTCTTCCATTCCCAGAGGCATAAACTCAATTTCACATTTTCTAAATCCAGCAGTATTGCTCTTTGCTTTCTTGGAGTTCAAGATGAAACTTTCAGACGTCCTGAATTGTGTATTGAAAAGAGTGGAAAACCTTAAGACTGAATCATTAATGATAAGCAGCAGGGGGAAACAAAGTGGTGGACTCTTCTATGTTAAATAGACATCCGCAACGTCGTAAGAACTGTTATTGTTGAATCCTAAAACCGAACTGAAGTTGAACATAAGTAAGCTGAAGCTGGAAAGATGAACTACAAACTAACAGGAGTTAAAAAGAAAACTGGCCGGCTCATGCCAAATTTCGGTCGAAATAACGAAGAAAATATATAACAAGAAATCTGGCAAAAGACTTCATAAGTGTAGTCAAAGTATATAAGTTGTTCCATATTTCATGAAATTTCTTCCTGGCGTACTACAGCTTTGGTTGTATTATATTTAATTAAGTTTGACTGTTAAGAAACTTGACGTAGCAGAATCCGTCCTGAGAAGCTAATTGTCGCTCACTTACTCAAGAAACGTCCCGTCTTTTAATTAACCCGCATATTTATTACCGGTTTCTATCCCAAGCCAGTTTAATCCACTCTAAAACTTGATACCTTATTTTTCAACGATCCGTTTTAATACTAATTTGAAATTTTCGCAGCGACTGAATAAAGTCTTCTCTGATTGCTCGAGAAGATTTTATTGCGTTTTGATATTAACTTAAAAGCCAAGCAGAAGTCTTAAAATATTCTCTTCCGCCTAAGTTTCCAGTTAAAATTTTGAGTGCATTCCTTATCTGTCCTCTGTATGGTATATAGGGAGGAGGGGGTTTGTAGTGCTAATCATCTTGTGAAGCTCTTCATTGTGCAGCTTCCTTCAGCCCCTTTAACTAAATGCAGCCTTAACTGCTCCATAACTGTTAATCATATTTTATGTATTGCTCTGTTGAGAGCATATTGCCTGAAAATACTATTTTTACTTATTAAATTCTCTCAAATACATTTTAAAAGCTTGCCTACATGTTGTGGTCGTAAGGACATACTTTATTTAGTACTTTCATAAAGTAACATATTCAATTATGATGATCAATTCCCAGTATATTTTGTAGCGTGTTTCATTTCTTACGTATTCTAATATCTTTCTAGGTACAGGTTAATGTTAGACTATATGATAATTTTATCTTCCGACCGAACTAATCACAAGCACTTACTGGTTTATCATAATCCATTATCAGCAGCAGTAGGATGGATTAAGCCCTTGTCCTGTTCAAGCTATAACGCTACTAATTTAATCCTGGTCCATACATCAGATCCTCCATTTCCTTGCGCCGTTTAGGCTTCTAGACACAGCTTTAAGATAGGACCCGTAGTTTGTATATCAATAATTTATAATTTTACAGTATCACTCACTCACTCGCTGTATGGTGCAAGATATTCTTTCCAAAATCTAATGTATATTTGACTTGTCAAAGAATAAGCCAGCTTCTCTATGAAACCCAAATGATCATCACCGTGCTTACAAAAGCCCGCCACCGGACTCTATCCCGAGCCAGGTACATCCAGTTCGCTCCTCCCACCTAAGCCTAGGTGTTCTAATCGGTCTTCTCTCTTCAGGCCTCCAAACCAGTACCTTGTAAACACCCCTCACTCTACCATGCAAGCCGCATCCACCAGCTCCATCATCCTCGATTTAATCACCCTAACAATATCAGGTGAGGAGTACAGGCCGTGAAGCTCATCATTATGAAATTTTTCTGATCTGTCTTCCTATCTTTTTGTGTTAAACATCTTCCTCAGCTCACTGGTTTCAAAATCCCTGAATCCTATGTTACTCCCTTAAAGTCGGAGACAAAATTTCGGACCCATTCAACACATCTGGCAAAATTACACTTTTGTATATTTTAGCCTTTGGTTATTGTATATGAGACTGGAAGACAAAAGATTAACTGAATTTAATCTGCTATTGATTTCGTCATGAATGTTATTCTGACTTGTAAGTGTCGTCCCCAAGTATTTGAATTTCATCGCATTTTCGTGCAGTTTATTAGTCATCCTTATGTTATGGTTCTGTCCTGAATTCTGATGCCGAGACATGATAATATATACTTAGTCTTTTCAACATTTACTTATAGCCCTTAAGAGTATTTCTGTGTTCGATTTTATAGTATTTATATTATCGCTCAACAAATGAATATCACCGGCATAGATCGAAAGCTGACGTCCGATTTAGTTCCAAACTACCATAATTTTCGTTGACTTTCCTGATGGCATATTCCAAGGCAAAATTGAAAAGCAGCGACGATAGAGCATCATCCTGTTTCAGGCTATTCTGAATAGTAAATGTATACGAAAAATGTTTATCTACACGAATTTTCTAAAAGTTTGACTTAAACATGTTTTAATTTGCCTGATTAGCTTCTTAGGTACACCAAATTCAAGAAAAATATACACAGATTCTCTTTTAACTCAGTCATAGGCTTTCTTTTGGGAGCCGGCGAAGCTCAGTCAGTACAGTGACTGGCTACGGACTGGGCGACCGGGGTTTAATCCCCGACGGGGGCAGAGGATTTTTCCTCTAGCCTCTTCGTCCAGACCGGCTCTGGAGCCACCCAGCCTCCTATCCCATGGGTACCGGGGTCCTTTCCCGGGGGTAAAGCCGGCCGGGGCGTGATGCTGACCACTCACCCCCATCTAGTGCCGAGGTCAAGAATGAGTAGGAGCTATACCTCCACTCCCCCCAAGCGCCTACATGGCGTATATTGGGACACCTTTATAGGCTTTCTTAAAGTCAATAAATAGTTTATGGACTGCCCCATTTTACTCCCACTTTTTCTCTAGTACCTGGCGAATGTAAACAATTTGATCAGTTATGTTTTCCAGTGTGATTACACTTATAACAATAAACGTTTGTATATAGTTACTTATTTTTATTAGCGACTGATTAGAATTTTTAAGAAGTGTTGATATTCTTTGTTTTCATTTTAAATTGGTAATGTACAAAGTGAGTAATTAAGAAGATAATTCTAATTAATATATTATTATAAACTGAAAAGCATAGAACTTAATGGATTCAGTTCATAGAATTAACTTATGTGCCTCGAAAATTCGGATTGATACAAAGTATTTGTCGTTGAAGTGGGGTTGATTACGTGAATAATTTGTTCCCAAAATGTTCTGTTGCAGTCGCAAATGACAGAAAATCTGCTAAAGCTGTTTTCCGCTATGTGAATTTTTATGTTGCATGACTAAGTTAATTCCTCGGTTTCATTTTCAGTGACTGTGTCAAAGTATAGCTAATGTATTCATAAAGGGAGGGATTATTATGATTTACTTCATGATGCGCTGTGGATGTGTTTATTATTGGATAAATGCATTTTCTTTTAACCTAATATATTCTTTCTAAAAATATGTAACATATTTTGCGCAGAATTGAATTAATGGCAACACCCATATATAGTATTACTTTTAATCTTATAAAACACCAAGTTCATCTAAATAAAATCAAAATTTCCGGTGTTTAGCTCAAAGAAACACAACGCGTCTCCAATATGAAGGTAAATTTATTAATGTTGATTTTCGCTGTTGTGTCAATCAAACGAAACTAATAAATATAGTACTTTGTGAGGGAAACAAAAAGTTGTTAAATGTCAAAGTACAGGAGTACAAATTAGCACTTTTCTTCTAAGATTATAAAATAATTGAATTACTAAAGATGACCGCAGCCCAAAGAGAAAAAGATGTTCTGTGGGATCCGCTAGTTAGCCAAATTCTTTAAATATTTACTTTTCAGACAAGAATCACACTCTGAACAGCGTAACAAGAAAAAGGAGTAGCTTAAATGTCGAAGGTTTGAAAATTGTTATTTTTAGACAGTGCACACCAAGATGTAACCTGCAAGTCTCAAAAGCAGTTCCAGCGTACTAACGCTTAAGGAGCGCTCAAGTAGGGATGAAATATCTCCCGTTACCGCTGGTGCATAAGAAAAAACCCACCTCTCTGTTTGGAGATTTGTTGTGGGTCCGAAAGGTCCATGATCTTGTTAGTTCCGGGGTGTAGAGGGTCACTGGGATACGCTCCGGCCGCCTTCTCTGTAAACACAGTCAGTAACCGCGGGATTAGCCCCTCACCCATTTGCGCCCATGAGTTTGTCGCAAAATCGTGAAGCATAACGCAAAAGAAAATACGAAAGGATGTGGAGAAAGACAAGGAAAAATATGAAGGGAAACCCCACGAAATAAATGGATTCATGATGACTGGATTATATTTGTCGTGAATTATTACACATATAAATATTAAATCTAAAATGAATTACGAGTATTTGGACATGATAAAGTCAAATTCAAAGACAATTTTATCTATTTTTCTGTTTTGGGCCGAGCATAGGATGAAGCAGTCTAGAAATCTGAGGCCCACTTTTACTGATATTAAGGGTTCAAATTCTCTTTTCATAAATGACCTCTCTGTGATTAAATAGGAATTATGAATGGTAAAGATGTGACAAATTAAAAATAAGTTACTTAAAGCAGCAGTAGCATATTATTAGATTCTTCTAACTTCAGAATCTTTTGCTAAGCGAAGAATTTTATGAACAGAACTGTGAAGAAGATGAAGTTCAATTTAAAAATACCATCGACGGAGAAATTGAGTAAACATTTCTAACCTATTTAACCCATTAATTAGGAACAAATTTAATTCTTAAGAGAAAATTATTTTAAAGGTAAAGTGAATTTTAAATATGGGTGACATTCCTGTACATAAAGCAGACACATTTATTAATCCTGCTGTTACACTGTTGTAGATTATTTTGTTGATAAATACACCAAAAACCTATACCACTATTTGTTCATTCGTACTTAGTCTGTATACAAACAGCTCATGCGTGAGTAGTGATAACTGATTTTTAAACACATGTGTCATCAAGGATAGAATGCAGAGAAAGATACCGACAGAAGAAGACACATATGTATGTGGTTACGGAACAAAAGTAACATGATTTTTTATCGTTACTCCATCAGTTACTCCTTTCACATCATCGTATTTGCTAGAACGAGCAGACACATCAATATCACGTCGCTCCAAGAAGTGGTCTGAAATTGATTCGACTCCGTAGTTCTTTTCGAGTGGAATAACCTAACCTTAAGTACAAGATGTTGCCATCAAACTGAAGCAGTAGACTACACTAGTTCACGGACCAATTTTAAATTTAACCTATTCTCTGCACTATGCATAAAATTCTATCCGTGTGACTGTTTCAACAGTGATTTTTGTTGAAAATCCAATGTGAAAAAAATTTGACCCATAAACATCTTAATTACAATAAAATATAATTAACTATCACATAGAGCAGAATCGATGTTTTAACCTGAAGTTGTGTTGTGAAACTAAGGTGTGGAGTTAGTCACCTTTATTTACATTACGTTGCATTCAGTGAACGTTTACGGAATGACAACATATTTAAGCAAATGTCCCGTAATATCTTACATTGCTACTCAATTCATTAGGAGGATAAGACAAGTAGGATATGGGCTGTCTCGGTTGCAACACCGTGAAGACGGAGGCAGCAAAGGCCTCTGAAATGTTGTTAAACTTCTATTAGAATATACGGCCCTACAACGAAGAATACAACCATGTAGTATAACAAGAATGATAAATAAGAACCGATATTATATATGTTATTTTATCTAAATCATTGTCAACTAGAAATTGGTTATGCAATGCTTCAAAAGCCTTCCGCACGTTACTAATTTAATTATGGTACGAGGTAATCTTATACCTGCCCTTCTAAATCAAAGGTTACATGAGAGTATCACAACGTAAAAAGACAAATAAGATAAAATCACATTATGGTCCGGAGGCAGAAGTAATCAAGGAGAATAGGAGATGCATAAAACATGAAAACATAATGTAGATTTTTAAAAATTTCCCGGATATTGCACGTTTATTCAAAAATAAGTTTCATAGACATGATTAACTATGTAATGGGGGTTGCGCACGAACCCATGACAATATATTTCCGGATGGCACATTAAGATGATTTCTATGTATCGTGAGTTTCTATAATAATTCATTTTGTACGTATCTTGATAACAGTTCATACCATACAGTCTAAATACTTGATACATCAGTAAGACAATAACTACAAAGCAATGTGGTGAGTCTGGGAATCGAAGTTGGCCAATCGAAAGTTTTTGTTCATAGGGATTGTTCTGGTGATTTTATCTTATCTAAAATTGTAAGGTACTCTTAGCCGACTCATATATTTCATGGAAGTATGTAATTATAACGTAATCGCTGTGACGGACATAATTTGAGGACGAGTATGTTGTATTATTTATAACGTTTTCCTCACTACAGCCATATTCTGCAATGTTGCCGTTCCCCTATATTTACTCTACATGCGATGAAGAATAATGTCTCAAAAGTAGTCGTGTTCAGAAAGAAGTAGAGCAGATTGCAATCAAGGAAGATGGCTGTCTTCTGGGTTATTGAGCCTTGTAGTCTGGTAGAAGTTTACCGACGTTTCAGAGGGCCTTGCTGCCCCCATCATCATGACGATGCCATCGCCTGGATGAAGGAAACTTTCAAAAATATTTCAGCTTTTATACAGAAATCTAATAGTAAATCTTCATAAAAGAAAAGTATAATTTAAACATTTGTGATGAAAATTGTGACTCTACGTAGGGGAAATCTTTTTAAATGATCAACCTAAGCTGACAACGCACACTGCATTGTGAAATTTAATTTTTACGTCAGTAGTTACTTGTGTTAAACGGCGAAGGCTTATGTAGAAAGACGCGTGTTTATGAGACAAAATTGTCTGTAATTGACATCAATTAATAAACACAAGAAATCTAAGTATTCCTATGTTTTTCAGGGGAATATAAGGTTTAGTAAAACAGTCTTACATTAAATAGTTTATACCATTAAGAAATATATTAACTCAAAATAAATTTTCCCCTGTATGATCTTCTCTAATAGGATGATGTTCACTGACCTAAAAAATTAATAAACTAGTGGTTATTAAAAATGATGTGTCAGTGTTGTTTCACATCTTAAGAACTTTGCATATTTATAAGCAATTTTCGCCAGTTTGAGATTAACATGTATTAGACTCGGAGATTATTGACATTAATGGAGGAAAATATACATAGCTGTATTAAATAGCACAGTTTCTGTTACAGTAGTTTATGTTGATGTCTCTATTAGTGAAACGGTTATTTAATTTTCATTTTAACATTATTAAAGGGACCAATAAGCGAACGGTAGTTAAACACTTCATACTACCAGAACTTTTGTGTACATTACGTATATAAGTTTAAAATTAAAATGTCTCACAGTTTCCGATTATCTGTTATAGTATTTTAAAACAAAGCACTGTCGAATTTTTCTTTAACTAAGTGTACTAATGAATGTGCTAATGCACAGCATATTATTTCACCACTTATGAGTTGTGCATGTACTAAATTACTCTTATTCTGCTTCTTGTCAACTTCATGGGATGGGCATGATTGCTTGTTCTGCTTACACAAGTCTCTCCATTGTTTTCCGGGTCGTCTCAAGTCCCATCTTCCCATGGGGTTAGTAGTTAGAAGCAAATTTTGGTAGTCTGTTATTGTCCACCATTGATAAGTGTACTACCCATTTTCCGCGGTAATCGATTATTTTTGTAATTAATGCCTCTGCTAGCAGCTCCTTCCTTATTTCTTCATTTTTGAACCTGTCTGTTTTTGTACATTATTTAACTCTTCGAAGAAATCTCATTTTCGCTGCTTGTTTCCTATTAACTTCTCTCTGTGTCGGCACAACTTTCACAACCATATAATAGTTTTGCCACCTCCATGACTTTACAAAATATTATTTTTGTTTCTTGCTTAGTTTTATTTTTTAGGGTCCTGTGTACAGTTTCACATATTGCCTCGAATCTATGTAATTTTTGACGTAAATACGTCTATACGGAAAGGAAGTTTATATATTGGCTTTATTCTAAATATTTCCTTTATACATGCTTTACAATTGAGATAAGTCTGATTAAGACATTGCTTATTTAACTTGAATTAGTTACGCTTAAGATGGGTCTGTGGTAGCTGAATGTAATGTAAAGTAATGTAATGTAAGGTAATGCAAGGTAAGGTAAGGTAATGTAATGTAATGTTTTATAGGTAATAACAATGCTAAGTAAACAGATGACGTTTCCTAGGTAACAATAATGCGTTTCCAAGGTAACATAACAATGCAGTTACACTTTTTCGTTCCACTTTTTGCCGAATGACACTGACCCTAAAATATAGCCGTATTTACGTCAAATTCTCCGGACCCGTGGTTCCACTATCACTTTTTTTTGTTTATATCATTTTTATACTTGTAACTTATATTGCATCCTAAGTATTTAAAGTGTATAACTTCATCTAACATAATAATTTCGAAAAAATATATAATACACATTTTAGGACCAGTCACCAGAAAGGAAAATTGCCCTGACTTTTCTGTATTACAGTACTTTAAAACATTAAATTATAAATCTACAAACTGAACTATGCCCCAAATTACTCTTAAATGTTCCTTTAAAATAAATATATCAGTAACTTCCTTCAGGGTATATAACATTGGGTCTAGGTTGATGGAGCATGTGTTACTTTCAATTCAATTCAATTCTTTATTATTAGTGTGCTGTATCAACAGGCAGGAGGCCAGTCAAAATAATTATACAGGCTACGGTTGTAATTAAAACGCCTCGTAAGTGTCTAGATCACAGTATTCCTTCATTATAAACCTCTAGCAGTAATATTTCGATTAGGTATTTTAACCCAGTTTTATTTCAAACTTTTAAAATAGGTTATTTGTATTCAAAAAGCAGTTTTTCATACAACAGATATTGTCAAAACAGTGAAATTAAAATTGAACCCACAGACATGTTTCCTGTTATCCCACCACTATATATAACAGTGAAGAATCTATCGAAATTGCATTAAAATTGCCTCTAATGCCAATGAAGACAATTATTAGTATGAATTACATATTTCTCTTCACAAATTTTTGATGACTTTAATTAAGACTAATATAATTCAATATATACTTTTGACTGTTTGAGGATAAGGCAACACAGTCTTACACTCTATGCATCGCTATTTATTCCTTAAAACGACGACCATTTTAAAGTGATAAAGCGGTCAAAGATAGCAGTAATCAGTAGGCTGAGGCCTGTAGCCACTGCTTGTGTTGCAGATTTGTCTCACCTTCCTGTACAGGATTTCTCGCGTCCGTAGTTGCTGTGGTTTTGATCGTGATAATATTGGTCCTGGAGGAAGTAAGGGGAGACGGAATGGCTGAAATGAAGAAACAGGAGCATGCTACATGCAAAATAAACCAAATATCACATAAATAATATTTAACAAAACACATTACAGCCGTAAATTAGTAAAGTCTGTTAAACAATTAAAAGAAGTGTCTTATAAAAAACAAAACATTCCCATAACGTACCGAGTAACTTCAGTCTAGCCACGTCGTCTCTACTGAACATTGATTAATGTAATTGAACTTCGTACGTAAAAATACTATAAATACTCCCTTTCTCACACTCTTGCTGCAATACGTGTGGAGATTATCTCATACGGGTTAGGCCCATTTGATCTCTAGTTGCATGTAACATTAGTCTCGACCGAAAAAATATTTCATCCAGGGGCTATATGACATTTTATCTCAGCACCTACAGAATTAACCAGATTATTTGGCGTCCACTCCTAGGATTCATAGTCCAATGCGACGAGAGTAGAGAAATATAACAAAAATACATTTTAGAAAATGGTAGTAGGTTTGAAATGAAACTGTAAAGAATATGATCATAGAACCAGGATTGTGAAGAGCGATCTCTATGGAGTTCAAAACATTCCATAGGTGATCTTCACGCCATATTACATATATCGCTTTTTGTCCTCTTAATCCTGGTTTATTGCGTGCTAGTTATTGTTGCACTGATGTTTTACAGGGTCAGTGTTGCACAAATGTAAGAACAACTCATTGTCTTCCAAATATGACCATAGATTATATGGCTAATCATTGTTTAACAGAAGACTCAACAGTGAGAGTTGTTAGATCCCATAGTTGCCTTCAAAAGTACCATTTTAAGTCCTTGCGAAATGGCACAACCTTCACATCATATTACATCTAAAACCGTCCAGTAGTTCACGACTAGACTCGACTGGACAGACGGAAGGACACGTGCATCCAATTATGCATTCTCGTTATGCACTTAAATAATAATACATTGTTGTGTGATAGAGTAAAATATTTTTACGTTCCTGCAATTTTAATCACCTGGCAGCGTACTCCTAGTCCGACCACAGCATTGGATACAGATTGGAATGTAAAATATTGCCTAATGTATTCAGCACTGCTATCTGCAATTCAGAGTTTTAGGCTTGAAACCAAATTGTTTATAGCACTGCAATAAGTCTCGGATAACGAGTGTGTGCAGTTTGGCTCGCCACTTTCTGAGATTAGTGTCAATATCTACAGTGCGAAAGGTCTGTGGAAAATCACGTTACCTACTAAAATATGGTTATCTTGTATTTGTCAGATACTCAGAAAACAGGAATTACTTCCCTTGACGTATCTTTTCCCATCGTATTACAATTTTCATACAATTCTTTCAGTTTCGGAACCAAATATCGGAGACTTCCTTTTTTATATTTAACCACGTCAAATATTTTACAGATATTTTAAGAATCTCTTCTACCTTCTGCTTATTCAAAACACAGCAGAAGTAACGAATTTCCGTAGAATGTGTCAATTAGACAGCTTAATCAATCAATCAATCAGTTATTTAACGAGTTAAATTCTGTATACAGTACATTGTAACCACCTATCTTAGGGTTTTAGCAGTCTACATATAAACGCTTATAAATATAAATTATCTTTTTTCAACCTCATATTATTTAAATTGATAAAATACGTCCTGCTGCTCCCTTGACTACCAGCAAGTCTCTACAGAGGAGACACCTTTTTGGATTTAAGGAGTAGAAGTTGAAGGAGAAGAAAGAGATGTTGTCTAATTCACTCGCTGAATTCGTTGAGCCGTTGGAAAAGAAATTGTCACCGGAGCTTACTTCAGGAAAAAAGAAAGCAGAACAGAGAGAGTAGTTCTGAACCGGTGATATATTATGTCGCTGTTACCACATGGTTGAACAACGTCATTGATCTGGTTTGAGAGGTTGGAATCTCTCGACCGTTTACAGTTTCAAATCCAGACTAAGCTAAGAGAAAAAGAAATCTGGATTGCTCTCTTCAGTCACAGTAGAACGTTACGTCATCAAATCCCACTGTTTACTTCGTGGGTGGAAGTTGAAGAAGATATAATAGTAGATCTACAATTGGAAAGAACGTTTCCTCCATTTTAAAAATTAAGTCACTTTAAAACTTCAAAACATTCTATGATAGTGTCTGGGATGTTTCTTGCTAGTGATGATTTCCGCATTAATAATAATAATGTAGGTAAGGAATTAAATATTTTTCATAAGTTAGTGATATTGCATTTGATTTATTTCAGAAATTAAACATTAGATTTCTCAGAATTTAAAAGAAAGTTGGACTTCAAAGCGTCCGCTAGTTACGAAGATTAGAAGAGATTTAGAAATGTAACACTTTGATTTGTGTGTTACTAAAATTACAGAAATAATACAGAGTCTTTACAAACAAAAGTGAAAATTCTCTTGGTACTTTACTTTGTAAATGTTAAAATAGGCATAGGTCAATACTGTTTTATTTCTGTAAAGGAGCTTTTGACAATGTGCACGTAGCGACACCTTAAAGACGATTTCGTTTAGATATACCAACAGTGTAGGTTTAATGAATAAAATAAATAATGTTTACCCTCATTTAAACTGCCAACATATTTACCAGTAACTTTGTGTTTAGAAACGCGTCTCTGGAGCGTAATAATGCAATCCACATAATAACACATTTTGTAAAATGAGTATCGTAAAAATAACATTTCGAATCTAAACTAACAATGATATATATACCATTGTAGTTTAAAAATATTATATTCAATATGTTGCCTGTACATATTTGTCGTTCAGTACACGAAGTAAAATAATTATATCGTTACCAGTATTTATTACTAGTAAACAAGAGATACCAGTATTTAGTATCTTATGCATGCACATAAAAGTTGTTATTGTTTAGAATCATACACTCGTAGAAAATCTCATAATGCTATTTCCAAAATTCAACATGAACGTGCCTACAATCGCTGCATCCGACCGCTCGCAAACTTCACTGCCATTAAATCGTTTTTTCTACTTAAATTTCGTGTATATATTTTAGCACATGAATCTCCATAGATGAGCGAATATTACTGTATTAAAAATTAAATCCGTGGCGTAAGAGCCCTCTGAGAGCCAAAGCCGACTAGCCTAAGCAGAGGTGAACGATCATCCAACCAGATATAGGGTGACGTGTGGTCAGCACGACGAACCCCCAGCCATTGCTGGCTCTCCTGACCGGATTACGCTACCCATTGTAGCTCCCCAATTTCCTCACGATGCTGGGTTGGCACCGGTCCCATGCACTGGTCGAAAGCTCATGAGAAAATTTCTTCTCCCCCGAGACTCGAACCAGCTCGCATTCCATATCGCCGGTCCGAAGCATTATGCCTCAGACCGCGCGGCTATATCGCCGGACACTATTACTGTATATACTTCATATATTCTACACGTTTTTGTAATGGCGGTGTTCAAAATATCTGTAGGAAATCATTTTGCCATCTCCATGTATTTCTGTCTTTCATTCTAACAGCTCTGATTCAGTTATGGGCATCATAGTAGACACGAATTGATGGAACATTAAGGTGTCTTGGTAAATGAAATTGTAAAAATATGGCAATCAGGTTTGCCCTGTCTTCCGGTCCGCAAGCAACAAGTACAGAACAGCTGAATGGGTTATTATTAAACTCGATATTGGAGAGTACTGTTAAAATTTGTCACTGCATTTTAATTTTGTTCAAATCGTAAAACAATTGCTATGCATAAAGACCTACATCCGTTTCTGCCTTAATTGACCGGGTCGGAGCACCTTTGCGAACCACGGAACCTTGCAGGAGAATACGTACCCCGCGATGTCCCGATCACCCAGCCAGACATGGTGGTAATTTACGATGGTCAAAATTCAAATTGTGACGAACGCGCCGGATTTGTTAGGCTATGCATTCATTTCTTAACTTGTTTAAAATTCGCCATGAACAGCATGCGATCCAGGCTATCCCATACTTTAATTTTTTTAACTGCTAGCTGTCAGAATTTTTTTCAACTTTTGCTGTTGAAGAACAGTGCCTTTTAAAACGATTTCTTGGTCACGTCTAGTGATAAGGTTCTAACAAAAATTTGGAATTTGTTGGAATAATTGTTTATGCCGCCAAATGACAATTGCATAAAATATTTTGGTTTGATTTATGTCACTGAAGAGCTATTGTAATTCGTATGTTATTATAATTTTTAAGCTTGAAAATTATTATACTGCTGACTTGTGTGTCCGATAGCGCACGTTTACTCTTTGCTTCATTTACGTTTAAGAGGCCACTCATAACAATTTCTCATTTAACCACAGGCGTAAACATAAACCGAATAGACAAATAATTAAACTACATATCGCCCAGTATCAAAATTATACTTTTGAGGCCGAAATAACAGACCTGTTTTCGTCTTTTTCCCCCAAATTTTGAACAAAACCACCTTAATCATGAAACTATATCGAAAAGAAGAAACCAAGCAGGCAGTGTAACAGCAAAGCCCTGGACGTATACTCGGGAGATAATCTTTTTGAATATCAACAGAGCTGCCGGCTATCGTGAGGATTTTAATCGGCTTCCCTTGTCTTCTGTGAATTCTTATATTTAAACTTGAAATAGGCCCGGACGCCTCCTTCTAATCTCATTCGATAATGCAGAACATATACAGGTCAAAGAAATATTAAGTGAAGCCTTCGCGGCGACTGAAGGTGATGAAAGACTCTCGGGTTACAAGCCGCGTCAGGTGGTGAATGGTGAATAAACCATATCTTCTGCCAACGTTTCGAGATCTCTGCTCTCATCCTCAGGACTGCTGCGTAACAAATCTGGCCTTCTGTAGCGCGTTCGCCGATGAGAACTGGCGGTGGACGGCAGGTAGTAGCATCGTGTTGCTGGTGGTCCGTCCGTTTCTTTGTTTCGCGCTGGCCAATGGGAACCGTCAGTCGGGGGTCACGTGCTCGCACTGGCTGGATGACCTAAGTCTGATGGTCCCAGGTGTATACCGGATTTCTTGAGAGTTTGGAAAGGTGTACGTGGGGCAGAGAGGAAGATCTATTGAGACCAGGCACATCCGTCTTGAACAACCCAAAAAGTCAGCACCAAATCGACACAAGCCGGACCTCGGTGTTGGACATGGCTTCAGGATAAGAAGCCATTGATATTCGCTTTCACAACTTCAATAGGGATTATAGTTTCACTCTGAGCCGGACATGGTATCCTGTGACAAAACCGTTGTCCGCCCGTAAGGCCGAGCCGGCGAGTGCGAGCACGTGACCTCGACTACCAGTTCCTATTGGTCAGCGCGAAACAAAGCAACGGACAGTCCTCCAGCAACACCTGCTACTATCTGCCGTCCACAGCCAGTTCTCATCGGCGAGCGCGCTGCAAAGGACTAGGTTTGTTATGCAGCAGCTCTGAGGATGAGAGCAGCGATTGTTCTCGAAACGGCAGAAGATATGGTTTATTCACCACTCAGCCGCCTGACGCGGCTAGTAACCCGAGAGTCTGTCAACAGGGTCGAAAAACGTGACTGAAAAGCTAAATTAAAAGACCACTTGGTAGATCTAAGCGTTGGAGGTGTGTAATATATGGGATCTTGAAAATACAGTGTGATTATTTGAACTGAAGTCATCTGGCTTCAGAATTAATCTAGTGGAAGGCACTTGTGAGAATGGTAATAAACTTTCGGATCATATATAGGCTTGGAATTTATTTATGACTGTTATCTACTCAAGAAAGGCAGTATCTCATGGAGTTAATTTTGTACGCAGTTAGCATCTACAAAATCTCATTTGTGATCCTACACATAACTAGCTAACGAACCTTCTACGAAACAAACTTGTTTACATCAAAGTACTACCAACATAATTTGATGTATTTTTTTTAAAGTTGTGGATAGAAGTTTGAATTCTCTGGAGATGTACTCTCGGACAGAACGTCAGTCCATTTTCGAGTTAACACTAACGAAAACCCAGTTAGGGATCAGCTCTCAGAACCCTACCATTGATGGATCTCTTCTTGTCTAATATGTTACCGTATACCATTCCCCTGTCCTCTTGCCTTTCCCTTCCCTTCGTCTCATTCTTGTGAGATGCATTAGGAACTATGGACAGAACAGACTGTGTGAGTTTCCCGTGCTGTATTAGTGGAGTCCATTAGGCGACCGCAAAGGTGTAATATCAATACTGGGTTACAGGAAGAGGATGAGAGGATCAATATGGCACCACTGCTTGTGCACGTAACATCCAGAGAGGGTACAATTTAGGTCATGTGCCCATTCTATTACGTAACATTGGCACCTGATATTTTAAACAGAAGTGACAAGGGCTTACAGTTCGACACATTACACTTGTGTAATGGCTGATCGTTTGTTTGACAATTTGCGTCTTATAATTGGCGAGTTATAAGAAGTACAATTAAGAAAACCTTTTTTTAAAAAAAGGAACAGACTAGTGTCACTTGATCAGAAATCTTACAAAAGTTAAATCGGGACCCTCAAATACAAAACAACGTAATAGCCACTGGTTCGATAAATTATTTTGCGGAATTTTGTGCGTTTAACTCCTTGAAGTACGTGTGACTGAAAACAGTTACCTTAAAGTATTGGTACGTAACGGCAATTACAGTAATTGAAAAAATGTTCATAATTAATTGCAGTAAAGTTTTTCATTCGAAGTAACATGCAAAGAAATTAATATATATTCGGAAAACATATTTCGACACAGACGAACGATATTTATCTGTTCCAAAATGTGGATCATCATTTGAACAAGGTTCAAAGTACTGCATGTAAGAGCCATGGAAAATTCTAGCCTCCGTATTGTGTGTAAGACGCACAGTACGGCGACAGCTTGCGCAGAACTTACACCACAGATCCTTGCGTAGGCAAAACACTTGTGCAAAACGAAGAAAACGGAGTCCTCTTAAAAAAGCAATCGAGTGATTTTATTTGGCTTTGAAGTTGTTGATCTTTTGGTTTGTAATGCCGTGTAGACTTGCAGGTAGATAGATAAGAGTGTTTTTGAGGAACGTACCATATCAATATTTAGACCAAGACTTAGTGACTGGTAATTTAATGTGCATTATAAGAGCTTCCAGATTATAGGTTTAACAAAAGTGTTGTTTCTCTGCTCCCTTCTCCTGCACTATTCACATCAATATGTAGCCTTACGGTTAGTAACTTTCTCCACGCTGTAGAAACAGTGTCCTTCTTGGGAAGCTAATAGTTACTCAAATTGATCCGAAAACTCTCAGCCTTTTATGAAACTTCAAGTTTCATTTCCCTCGTACAAGAACCAGCCACTGGTCTGTATCCTCATCCATTTCATATCGTCACGATTGATTTTAATAGTATCCCCTCATTTACGTCTAAGCATTCAAATGGTCTCTGTCCTTCATATTTCCTGACAAAAATATCGTAGCCTACGTTTTCCATTTCTTCCATGATTCGAATTTTCCCTTCTGCATCTCATAAATTTTTACCTTTGTAGCAAGAGTGTGGGATCTAAGACTAGAGGAACGTGCTGTGTACACTCACGGTAAAGCTTGATGCTGCCGTCTGTGTCGCCCAGCGAGTTCTTGGAGACGCATTTGTACGAGCCGAAGTCAGCAGGCCCGACGGCCCGAATCGTCAATTTCATATGCACTTTGTAGGCATTGTCCAGAAGCACTGGCTCGTATTTGCTACCTGCGACAAAAAATAAATGTTCATTTCTGGGAAGACCAGAGGTAAAGCAGAGGAAGCGTGTACCTCCGAATAAGCCTACAACAGATTTAATTTTATAATTAATGAAAATGAGCCTGATTTTCTTCTTGGTTAACTTGATATTGTGTCATTTAATTATCAATTCTACTAAATTACGCATAAAACAAACACTTTAATATAATATGTGTTGAAGATGTCTGTCTTCTGGGTTGTTGCGCTGTGTGGTATGGTAGATGTTTACCAACTTTTCAGAGGTCATACTGCCTCCATCATCAGGGCGATTCTGATGACGGAGTCAGTATGACCTCTGAAACGTTGGTAAACATCTACCAGACTACACAGCGCAACAACCCAGAAGACAGATATCTTCATACTCATCGCCCTGATGACGGATGCAGTATGATCTTTGAAACGTTGGTTAACATCGACCAGACTACACAGCGCAACAACCCAGAAGACAGAAATCTTCATAGTCACCGCTGTGAAAACCTCAAATCTTACATAATATTTGTTGTTTTCAGTATTTAATACTATTATGTCACAGACAACGTTTATCGGCACTTATCACTTAGAAACTTTTCGCAGGTGTAGGTTAGCATTAAGTATTGGGACTATATGCTTAAGAAGTGCACGTGTCTTTACTAGGAATTATTTATCATCTTCCATTAGAGACATAAGTTGACTCTTGATTACAGAACACAAAGGGCTGTAGGTAAGAAGAAAAATTCTACACGCAGAGTCATAAGCGTAGAATAATTTATCCAAGGACAAAGGATAATAATCCTTTTAAAACTATTATCCCATAAAAGATGACTGTTTAGTTGCGCCGTGTAGTCTGGTAGAAGTTTTCCGACGTTTCAGAGGTCCTTACTGTCCCCATCATCAGGGCGATAGGTGACTCTGTTAGAAACGATATTTGGTTGTCTCACTACTCTTAACTATAGGAAATGTCTTTCTGTTGCGTTCAATGTACAATGTCTGAAACATAATTCGCGAATGCATTGAACAATATAATTCATTGTACTGAGGCCTAAGATCTGTATCATCAGAATATAATCCTGACATTTCTGACTGCGGCTTTAATCTCCAAATAAAGTGTATATTTGTCTTATTTTAGATACTTTCTTGAATTACATGACCTGTGTTTCGACGGGGTGACGTTAAAATGGATTATTTTTTACCATTAATTGAATTGAATTGAACTGAATTATTAATAATATGGCACATTTATATTTTTAGTTTCATTTGTTTGATTTTGTATTTGTAATGTTTTACTTTTATTATTATCGGAATGAATGTAATTATTATATTATATTTCATCCTCTATTAATGTTCAGTGCTTGACTGTTATTGGCCTTATCTGGGTGTTGTCAAGCACTTAAATAATTGAATTGAATTGAATTGAATTGAATTATATTCCAACCCCATGATTTATCGCGACAATAAGACCGGATTTTCAGAGGAACTTCAGAATACATAAACGTACCGTAAAATATAGAATTATCTTCGTTATTTTTTTAAACTGACGTTTCCATGCATTTTGGGAGTCTCCGTAACTGAGACGTGTTGACAGAAGGCAGTTACACTGGAAATGTTATCATATGTTTAATAAAACAAAACAAGCCGCATATAAAATTTCATCTCGAACTGAAAACGGTACAACAAATGTTTATTCAGTCATTTTATCCATATTTTACAAGGTTACTTACGCTATCTTGTTTGCTTTTTAGGGCGTCTAATTAACTTCAGATGGGAATGTGAGTACTAAATTTACATTTTACGATAACAAACAAGATGTGATGAGGAAAGTAAATTCTGAGAAATATCCAAAATCACCATGTTATAAGAGAAGAAGAAAATGGAAGTTCATTGTTCACTGCCAGAATCTGAGGCAGTAGTATATTTATTTACTCAGTTAATATAATTATTTAAGCAAAACTCGTGTCAGTAACACAATTTTTACACTCATTTCATTACAGTGTTTGTCAGTGAAATATTTATATTTCTTTTAGTTACTTTTAACTCTGTTTATCTCTGTAGGTATTTTGTCATAATTTCTGCACCATGTCTCTAAGCTTTAGCTGTGGCTTTGCGTTACATCAAGGCCTGTCCTCCCATTTTCTCGCTTATGGCTTGGGTGCTGTAATCCCATTAAATTCCGTAAAACCCGTGCTTTGTTAACGAATTCTGTTTTCATTTCTGTACTAGGACCGTTATTAAAGACTGTGCCTTCGCCTTGCTCATGTTGCATTCAGATCTTTGTTTTAATTCTCATGAGATTTTTCATAGTGAAGTCTCTGGTAACGGGTAGGGTTTGTTTATGAAACAAAACTCAGTTTCTACCACGAAGATTATTTTCTCTCTTAAGCATAAAACTGCTTAAAATCATCATTTATGAACCTCAGATTTCATTAAATTCTGTATATAATGGCAAATTATTCCTGTACTTAGCAACTAGCATGAGAGGTATAAGGTGGTCTGGCGGATAAAGTTCCTCTTTTTAGCTTATATCTTAATTGCATCATGCTTGTGTTTCAATACAATACTTTTATTTTCCGTCGTTTACACAAGCTTATTGTTAAAATCATATAAAATTTCACATAAAATTGTTACATTTTAAAATTGACGACATGTTTCGATATACAATCTTATCATCGTCAGGTCTATCAAAATTAAAATTAAAATCTGGTGTATCTGTTGCTCTGCTCTCATAGTCATCCTACGTCATCTCATTTGATGCTTAGCAGTTGATCTGTCAAAGAATCCAGTAAACGTAGGTAGTTCTGTAAAATTTGCTGGAAATTTTATACATATCCATGACAATACTTTTATTTTCCGTCGTTTACACAAGCTTATTGTTAAAATCATATAAAATTTCACATAAAATTGTTACATTTTAAAATTGACGACATGTTCGAAGAAGCCTGGAGATGTAGTAAAAACGAGTAAAAACAAAAACAATATAAGCAGAGCAACAGATACACCAGATTTTAATTTTAATTTTGATAGACCTGACGATGATAAGATTGTATATCGAAACATGTCGTCAATTTTAAAATGTAACAATTTTATGTGAAATTTTATATGATTTTAACAATAAGCTTGTGTAAACGACGGAAAATAAAAGTATTCCTCTTTTTCTTAACCACAAAATTAGAATGATACGGGCAATGGACTTTTCTATTCACTTGAAATTCAACATTTACTGTGAGCTCGTTGAACCTCGGAATAGTGTCAGTAAAAGTTCATAGATGACGCAGATCCTAATATTTCAGTACAGAAAATAAAAAAAATATATCCAAGGATATCGTAATGAATGTGAATATTATTACAAGAATAAGCGAGGAAATTAAGTGACATGTATTTATTATAATTCATGATTACAGTAATACGTATTTCGTGTCAGTGTTCTTCAGAAATGATTGCTAGCAATTGAACTCAAAGAGGTAGAATTTCTTTGCGTGCTAAATAAGTAAAAGGTATATTTGTATATCTGTATTACGTAAAACAAATTTTGATATTTGATTGCTTTTTTGCATGTCTGGTTGCGCTAATAGAGGCCTAAACCCTATTAGTAATCACGCTGTGTGTCAAAATATTATATCTTAGAAGTGCTTCTAATATAAGACAGATCTAAATGCGCTTTTAATATTATTAACGAAAACGTTCAAATGGTGTAGTATGTTGAAAACTATGGGAAATATATACAGGAGAAAAAAGGACGGAGATATAGTTGCGAACGCTTTAAAGGTAAGTAACAAGACAAAGATAAAACAAAAATAATTTTTCTTCCAATTTTATCAGGACGCTTTCAATATTGACACCATAATTAGTAATAAATATTGAATTTAGTTTTACGAGTCACTAAGTTCAGTTTCTGAAATTAAATACATTTTCCATTTAACGTAACTTTGTGCTAGTAACTGCATGAAAGACATTATAGTTTCATATCTTTAAATTATAATACGGAGAGTCTGCAATGCCAAGTCTGGTACTACGAACACACGAGAATCCTTTATTCCACACGCGCTTACCTATAAACATAATGTATTAAACTGAAAATAATACCGGTAAGATAAGTATCAAAATGCACTCAGAGTATATCTTTTGATATGTACTTCTACATGTACACAGATCTCAACTAAGATACCTTTAATATACGTCAGTGATGATACTATTAAAATTAATACGTGATATCCTCAAACAAACTGGATGACATATTGTTCATTAATTGTACTGTATAACACATTTGCCTGTATCACATTTATAGTAGGAATTTGTATTAGAAAAATTAAATATTTATTAGTGAAAAACGCGTTGAAACACAGTGGCGAATAACTTCTTTCGAATGTTAATCACTTTTATCGTTTATCATATTTTCATCCTTTTCGTATATTTATATCCTTTCTAAGTTTTTCCAACTGTTATATAATGTAGAAGCACTTACAAAAATAGAACATTTTACTATCTAACGATGAATTATAAGTTAACTTTGAATGATAACGTAGGAGGATTTGCATCAAAGGGTCTCTGGTCACTGCATTTACGTAGATGTGACTGAGAAAAGCCACTAAACCGTTTAGTGAAAATAGGAAATTCGCATTAGTTAAAATCAGTTATACTGTATACTTCCAGCTTACGTGTGCTCTGACATTAGTGTAAGATTAAGTATTTAAACGATATTTTACACAAACTACCTTGAGCAATGATTTCTCCTTTTTCTTTTGTCCAGTAGTTGATGGACTTTGGATAAGCTTCTGAATGACACTCAAGGGTTATCCGCTGACCTTCATATGCTCCGACTAATTGGTTCTGGATCCAAATCATTGGCGGAACTGTAAGGCAAAATTTTAAATTAATAAACGGACTTAATAGCGGAAACTACTTATAATTATGTATAAATAATGAGGTTAAGTATACCAGATAGTTCTATATATGTATTTCCGCTATAAAGTATTCATTGTTATACTCAGCCGAATATTTTAGTCTCGTACTGCCAATACACAGGCACAAGCCAACCGAAATACATAATTTTTAAAATAATAAAATTATCGCCTAGTAACAAGTCTTTAAGTAACAATAAAATGTGATCAGATTTTCGTTGTCAAAATCGAGTGACGTAACATATTCCAGTCGAGTCTCGTATTCAGAGACCATTGTTCGTAATCATTATCTCATGTAAGCTATTTAATCCTCCTTCATAGGATTTGCTGGTATCAAGAGAGCAAATAATTGCGCTTTGGAGAAGATAAAACTGGTTAATTTTTTCGTATTCCTTGTCCATAATAAGATTTACCTATCATTACGGGAAAAGATACAATTTTAAAATCACGTCAGACCAACTTTCAAAAAATGTTCTTCCTCTCTTGAACGCGTCACTGACCCATGAACTTGTTTACAGGTACTACTAATATTACTGAAATTCGTACATTTTAATATAAGTTATCTTTAACAGCCGTGTTCTACCGACATGATACCTGAGCTTCCTCACAGAAAGCCTCTCTACTGATGTTCGGATGTTATTTGCCCAACATATTCCGTAAACCAAATGCGTAGATTTAATGTTAGAGCTACGAAGTTACGTAGAAGAAGCGAAAACGTTTAGTAGTTTCAGGACTAAAACATTCTTAAAATAACAGTACGTACATTGCACGATAAGCATAATCCTCTTGCTGACTGTCGGAGGAACTCCGTTGGAGGCAATGCAGAGATACGGCCCCATGTGCAGTCGATTCACTCTAGTGATGTTGAACACTGGGCCCTCCACACTCGCCACTAAAAAAGAACAAGTGCAAAACCTTATAAACCATACGAAATTGTTTCTTCACACAAAACAGAAAACATTAAAATAAATTTCTGTCAGCCGTTACACATATACACCAAGGGCTATGTAACAGATAGGTATGAATACATACGTACACTTAGCAAGTTATACACGAGGTATCTCGCTCAAAATTACTTATCATTCAAGTCTGATTTATTAATACTTCACTTCAAGATCTGTATGTCTCTCACCACTTCTTAATATTTAAGCTACTTCAATTAAACCGCAAGAAGACACTTCAGAAATAAAAATTGCACGTTAATACAGCTTCTTTAGTTAGACTTTAACATGGAATTGGCTGCTGTAAATTGTTCCAATCTGGTTTCGTGAAAATCAGAGGAATGATACAAAAATTTCAATTTCGAATGGAAACATGTTTCTAATATTTTACAGTCAACAACTCAACTGAGACGGCAATGTTCTTTACGCTACAGTAAATATCAGAGAAGTTGTCGGGTTAGAGTTATGCCGCAATATTGAGTGTGTTTTTAATCCACTCAGTTTTAACTGAAATGTTTTAATCTTTATTCAGACGTCAGGTGAAATATATGTTGATTTTGTTCTTAATTTGTATGAAAAGTAATTTCCTAATAAGTTCTTGTAAGAACTTTAAATTCCAAATTTCGGCAGGATATTTTCAACCAAAGCATATTTTCCATCAGTCACACAGTTACGTGTGTTATAAATTGCCATCACTGTAATAACTCAATACGTATTAAAGCAGGGTACTGCATATAACATTCGTAATGTTTATTACAAGCTTAAGGTCCCGTCAGTTACACCACTTTTGCTTTACGTTTAGAAAAGCTGCTTAAACAATTTCGTGTTTAAAGATGTCACAGAAATTATTTTGGATCCAGACGAACTAATTTTTATTGCTTGTAAGTAATTGAAATTTGGTTATTATGCAGAGTGTATATCACGATTTAATAGGTTATATTTTTCAGAAGATACAATTGTTTTAATTTAATAACTTCTTGCCGGTGTATGTTGAGAAGTAATTTAAACAATTATAATAATTATAATGCATTAAAATTCCACGTTACCTGTCTTAATAAATGTTGTGGTAGATATAACATATCGAAAAAGTAGTTGATAAAAATGGAATCTACATTTGATGTAGCAAGCTTATAGTTTCACGCGTTCTTTAATTTCAAACAAACGTTATGCATCCGCATAATTCAGCTGACAATACAGAATACAGACCCAAAATAAAGATTAAACTTGTCGTTGCGTGCAGTTTTCACCAAAATTGATGGCACTGATTAGTTTAATTGGCCATGCTGCATATTGTGCGTGAATATTCACAGCTCAGCGCTTCTGATGTTTCTTTTAAAGTCCTTTTGCCCTTTTTTCTTTCCGTAATATCCCCCCAACAAAAATGGAATTTCCGACTGACCGTATGGCATGCGACACATTTCCCTGTTTTACGCATGGTTAACGTGATCACTTTTTTACATAATGCCATGTGCCCAGTGAACATTAGTATGCGTACCTACTATAAAATTATCCACAACCATGAATCTACAAGAGCGATGAGTGATGGGAGGGAAAGGCAAAGGCTTGAAGGGAGTGGGAGACAATGGGTGGAATTGATGTTTCCAATCAAATTGTAATTAGGAAGGGGTCAATCAGAGGGAAGATGAACGTATGGGATAGTTTCAGCAGGTGCATTAGGTAACATGGAAAGTTATGAGGGGAGTTTAAATAGAAGAGTGACTGCAATGCCGAACAAAGCTGACCGCTTGCCACTGGAGGGTGACGGATGATTGAGTTTAATCGATCAGGGTACACACCGAATAAACGGAGAAATGGAGCGACTGGGATCAAAGGCAAAATTTCTCCCACATCCCATATCGTACTGAAACTCGTTGATGCGATAATACACAGAGTTGCAGGGATAAACGGTATTTCGTCCTCAAAATTCTCTATTTCGGCTCAGAATTTATGATTTATAGGCTAAACTTTATGATTGACAGCCAGTGGATGTTAAAAAGAAAAAGAGAGAATGTAATCATGAAAAATCGAGAGTCAGATAATGGTTTGAAGTTCAAAGAATAATGTAATTATTAGGCATAAGAGTTCGGACTCGCAGAAAATATAATTTAAATGTGAGGTACTTCGATGCCTTTATATCGACAAATGCAGTCATTACTGGCACTGAAATAATGATGCAGGAAATTTGCAATATATATTTCAAATTATTTATTTGGAAGTTGTGTCGATTAGGCCTAAGTATTTTCATGACATGTAAGTGAATATAAAAATATTACAACGAAATTAGGTGTTCAATTTCTCAGCATTAATAAAAAGGTAAGTGGTATTAGAAGTCGTGAAAGGAAGTAGGCATAGTAATTACTTCAACGAATTATTTTGTTGATAAAACTACCATCGAACTATCATGGAGAGAAGTTCTTGAGCTATGTAATAGATTTAGCATAGTTGGTAACTGTATTAATCTTTAGATATTAAGCACAGACATAAATAACTGAATACTGGTTATAATCATTAATTTAAAAGTAGTACTGCTAACCTGGATTGAAATAATTCAAGGAAATATATGTCACAGTTCTCGGAATTTCATAATTAAAGTAATAACATACATGCTTGTACAAAGCGTCGATACAAAAATGTTAGACTTCACCACTCAGCAGAGAAATGTGACGTGCCTAAAATTGGCAGCCCAGAATCTACCCATTTTCACGACTTAAGATCTTACGCATAAACATTGTTCTTCATGTCACTGGAGCATAAATGTCGGCCATCCGCAACAATAACAAGACAAGGCGATAGTCCGCTGAACAAAGGCATCGAGGTTAATTTACCGTGCTGGGCTGATGCTCTACATGAAGGAGCCGAATTTGCCAACAAAGTGCAATTAGGACCAAAGGTTGCCATCAACAAATTCCCCTGTCAGAGAGGGCTTGGAGATCGCTCCGTAGACTTAGAAAAACGACCTAAAAATCTGATCAATAATCGTTACTGGAGAGATTAAGTTACCGTCAAATGATCAATGAAACTTAGAAGAATCTCCCTTTTCATGAGAATGCCAATACATGGTTTAGAATTGTCAATGATTGTCCCTATTGTTTCTACGAAATTAAAATTCTAATACTTCTTTAATGGTTAAATTTATTTTAAAAATAATTAGTTATACACTGTCCACTGACAGAGGTTAGCGTATTAGCATAGTACTAGAGATGTCTCAGATTCGATTCCAAGCGTTCTCACTTAGAATAAAAATAAACGTGGCCAAAAATACGTCAGTAAAATAATAACAAATTGCCTGAAGACAAGAGTAGAGCTAACTCACGAAACGTCGTGAAAAAGTATAATTTCAGACAATGGACAATGTCTGTTCTGAGACTCAAATATGGTCGGACCGTCTTTTCCCTGGTCTTCCAGTTTCCTTTCCCTCTCTGCGTTTATAATAAACACCCTACTGGAAGTCTAGGAATTTCTAGTTCAAACAGCATCTTTCACATAATCTAGTAATTGATTTATTAATCTTGAACTTGTAGCTTAAAACATATTTACATTCACGTGAAAAATTGACCAACAAAATAGCCCCTGGTATTTCTGGAACAGTAAGACTTACTAATTTTCTAACTGCTTAAGAATTTACTGTCTTCTTACCAAGTCTGAATGTTAATAATCGTCTTCAGGTAAGAACATGACTAAATTCTATCCTGAGCGAGTTTTATGAAATTCATATTTTCAAATCCAAATAGTTGTAAGATATATTTTATATTTGGCCAGTCTGCCTTACAGTTTGCGTTAAAATTTATCTAATTGTCTGTTACCTAATTTTAAATTCATTAGTGTACTACGTAGTAATTCAGAAGAGTATAATCCAAATTACCAATGGCGTATAATTCTCAACTCCATCAGTATTTTCTGATTTCCTGCCAATGTTAATGGGATTTTACAGATTTAACCATACAGTCAACAATATATTTTTATATCAAACCTAAAACTTCTTGACGATGGTGAAGAGTCAATTGAATAAAAATTTTCTTGGATATTATCCAGCGTCTAGTAAATGTAAAACGTAAAACGACGTTTCGGAGATTGGAACCTGAAGACGGAGATAGATTCCCATCTCCAAAACGTCGTTTTACGTTTTATATTTACTAGACGATGGATAATATCCAAGAAAATTTTTATTCAATATATTTTTAACTTATTATTTGTTTTCGGTGATGTCAATGATCACTTCTCTGTTTCTAATAATGTAGTGGCCCTTTTTTCGAGACGGGGGGCAATTAGTAATTTAAGTACACTCTAGTACATCACGTATTATAGGACGTTCGTATAACCGTCAAGTTGAATCCGCCTAACCTTCACGCTGTTCAAAAACATTGCAGACACCAACTACTTACACTCAGATTGAGGGATTATTTACGAAAACGCTGCCGTCTAAACCAGAATACCTATAACAAGCAATATAAAAATAGTCGTCTGATGCATAAACTAAAATAGCGTGATGGCATTTTAATGAGCTAACGCCTGTACCCATTTACAGTATCATCCTTCGTGACGATGAGCTACTCTGCGTTCGCCATGAATTACCATAATCCTCCTCGTAATTAGATTTCTGTCTGTAAATAAAATAAATGAACCCGAGGGTGGCATTAAATTCTTGAGCTTTATGCAAATACTGTACGGGGCGTAACATGTGTATTTTATGGTTCTCCATAACTTTTATTCAAGAAATACTCTCACCTGAATACTTTGCGAGATGCGTCTAAAAATGTATTCAGACCATTATATAATGTCGACCTTAGAATAAATCAAAGTGAAAATCTTACACATTGCAAAACTGGAATAAGTGTTGCTTATTAAGTTCAGCCAAAATATGTCATGGGACGTGGATGTGATATATAACAATTTTATTTATCCTCTTACGTAAAGTATTCTTTAATAAATCAAAATTCTACAATAAAATTTA